GATAACACCACCTCAACTGCTGCAGGCGTAGGTGTGAGCTTGCCATGAATGGATTCCACCTGCTTTGTGAGATTTTGGATCGCATTGATGACCATTTTCATCTCATCTTCCATGTTGTTGAGACGGACGTTTTCTTCGGCCATTTTTTGTAGCTACCTGCGAAAACGCTAATATGAATGAGTATAATGCTCAATAAAGAATCATTCTATGACTTAGTCATATTATTATTGCGTATTTTCTTTATTTGCAAAGAAAAAAATAAGCAAAAAGGGTTTTTATTAATATTAACATTACAGGCGGCGTCCCCGGGGTTCGAACCCCGGTCGCCTCGGACCGTGACGCTACATCCCCGGATACCACTGGGCCGAAGGCCGCGATGGTGTCATCGAGGGGCAAAAATTTTTATTTAAAGCATAAAAAACGGCCCGAGTTATATTAACATTTGTACAACCCATAAACATTTTTACAGGAGATAACCAAAATTCCCGAACATAATTACAGGGAAATATAAAAGACAGGGTTTTTAACAAAAGGGCGCCATTCCCGGATACTTATTTTATAAATGATGGGGAAATCACGATCTCTCGGAGGCGCTTATTTTTACGGACAAGCTCCGCAATAAGCGTATCCCTGGTATATAGACTGCAATCAACAGGTGGCCTAACATTAACCAATCAATTGAATATGTAGGCCGTATATATAAAAAAATGAGAAGGGATAGAATATATACCTTTCCTTGAACCATGGCAATCGCAACAACATGCACATGAGGAGTGAGGTTCGATTTCTATTTAGACTGGCTCAGCAACATGAAGTTAAAAGGGTGCCTGACCGTCGCAGTCTCGCGTTGGTGTCAAGTCCTTTTAACCTCGGCCAAATCGAAAGGAATATCTTATAGTCACGCGAATAGCGGCTAAAGATACTTCTTTACGATTTTTAGAAATAAATTTCGGGGAAAAGAAAGGCAACCTCTACATCGCGGGCTCGCGTTCGAGGTCGTATCTTTCTTAACACCATCCTAACATGCCCTATCGCGGCCCAGGTCCGGCAGCGTGGTTGTGTGTGCAACGGTGTAGTGCTAAATCATTGAAGCATGCACAACAAATTATAAACAATCAATTCGAACCTGCAAGAACAAATAACACCTTAATGTCAGTATCGTACCTGGAGTCCTTGCTGCCAAACAAAAATTATTTTTGAACAGGATAAAATTTTGGCCTAAGTCCACTTTGAAAAAATGCAAGTCCCCAGCGGAGTCGCCAGTCTGTCGCGACCGAACTCCCGAGCCCTTTTTTAAACGACATGCAAAAAAGGGGGGCTCGCCTGGTACGTGCTAAGTCTAGGTTCGGGACTTAACTCGGGCTCTCCCAAGCCCATACCATATCGCGACTTAGGGTTTAAGTGTTTAACATGCAAGTGGTTTATATCAAGGAGTCGCCACTAATCGATTTGGGGTGGGCCGATTAGAAACCCAAATAGGGTGATGGGAGAATCACCCTATTCCTACGAACCAGTGATTAACTAAATTCGGGGACTTGGTTACACTAGTTGGATAACTAATGCCCTTTCGGTACCATTTTAGCCTATTCATTTCTGAAAACATTTGTCAGGCAATTTGGATTGATTTTAGGACCTTTCTCCTAATATGTGAGGTGATCAAGCGAGTGCATAATCGGGAACGATCGGCGATCGGAACACAAAGAATTCATGCAGCCTAAGGTTCTAACCCTAACTAAGTCGATGACATTCAAAAACACAACATTCATGCAATTGTATTAAAAACATGCATAACAATACAACGGTAATAAAAACTAACATGCAAATATTACCGCGCAACCTCAGGCTTGTCTAATTTAAATAAGACAAAAACTTACAAAATAATATCACATTAGATTAAAACAACAACAATATATCACATAAAATAAAAAAAATAAAAAAAATTTTAAAAAAAAATAAATAAAAATAAAAAAATAAAATAAAAAATAAAATAAAATACGAAATATTTTTTTAAATAAAAAAAAAACAAATAAAAAAGAAGAAAGAAAAAGAAAGAAAAGAAAAAAAAAATTTTGAAATTTTTTTAAATTTTTTTTTTTAAAAAAAAAAGTAAAATAAAATAAAATAAAAATAAATAAAAAAAAAAAAGGGATCCGGACCGGGTCGGAACCGACCCGGGTCAACGGATCCGACCCGGTCGTTGACCCGGGTCGGATCGGCTGAACCGGTGGGAGCAGCCCCGTCGAAGCCAAAAACGGCCTCTCACCGGCCGACCCAGACCGGCGCCGCCCCCAAATCGGCCTCCTGGGAGTAAAACCAAGCCTCTCCACCCACCGGGGTCACCGTCCGACCGCCGTTCGCCGGCCGGCGACCAAAACAAAAACCGGTTTCATTGAGGACTTTTGTCGAACAGATGGTGTGCGCTTCCAAAAACAACAAATCCTGACCTGTTCCGGCGAACCGGAGGATTCAAGCGAATCAACCTACCTTCGGTGAGGACACACGGATGGCGGGGGATGACGGTATGGGCCGGGATTCGCGCGAAACGGCCGGCGCGAGTCCCGGCCATACCGAGCAGAAAAACAGAGCAAAACAGAGGCGGTTCGGGCCGGACTGAGAGCTCACCGTCGACGGCGCGTCTGGGGCTTTCCGGTTGATCGGGGGGCGACGGCGACGCGGCTGGGAACCTGCAAAAACCGACTTTCCCTTCTTTCTCTCTCAATTTTCTCTCTTTCTCTCTCAATTTTTCTCTCTCTGTTTCTCTCTCCATTTTGCCGACCGGCCTCTCTCTCTCTGTGTCGCCATTTATAGCCGGCGACGACGGTGCCCCTCTGCTCCGTTACGTCTGTGATGACGACGGTCTGCACCGGCCTACTCTGGCGCGCGACTTTCGCGGCCATTTAGGCCGGTGCAGAGCAGGGGATCAGTTCAGTGAGGCGCAGAGCAGACGAACAGGGAGCTGAGAGGGAGGAGGAGATAAGGGAAGCCGGGACAACGGGGAGGACGGGACTGGCAATTAATGCCAGTCCCGTCGGCGTGCTCTCTCGGCCTTCCTCGCCGGATAGCGACGGCGAGAGCGGCGCGCCGCCGTGCGTCGGCGTGACGTCGCGAACGAGGAGAACAGGGCGAGAGAGCGACCGGCGAGGGGAAGAAGAAGGAAGGGGTTGGGCCGGGCCGGGCCCGCCGTGCGGGGGAAGAAAAAGAAAGAAAGAAAGAAAAAAAAAGAATGGGCCGGGGCCCAGGCGGGGGGAAGAAAAGGAAAAAGAAAAGGGCCGGGTCGGCCCGGCCCGACTCGAATTTTTTTTTTTTTTTTTTTTAAAAATTTAAGAAAATATGCTCTAATAGGCCCTATTAATGCACATATGCCTAATGTCAATATGCAATGCATTTAAATTGAAATATTTTTTTGTTTTAGGAATTAACGAAATTAACTCCTAAATTTTGCAATTAATTTTGGGCAAATTAAAAATAGGTGTCAACAATGTTGATTTGTCGCTTTGTTATTGGAATGATCGGCTGAACTAAGTGTGTTCTGGGGCGGCTGCTGAATAGCAGAGGAGGGGTCTTTTATTCTCTCTTTGGAATCGTCGTTGCCTGCTAACGAGGTATGTCACCAGCTCATATTTGACTTTGTTGAAAACAAGGAAAGCCTTTGTTTTGGACTTTAGATGTGGCTAATCCTATTACCTCACTGTCTGATTGTTTGGTTGCATTGTAATTCAGTGTTGGTCTTTTATTAAACTAGAATGAGTCGGCATGCAACTGCGCTGGATTCTTATTGCGCGCATAATTGCCAGAATTGGCTTGAATCTAGGGGCCATCCTTTTATGCATTGTGAGGTTTCTCTGTGTATGAAGGTCCTAGATCAATTAAATATATAAAATGAAGCAGGAAAAAAAAAAAGTGGGCTGGTTCTTGGGTCGTTTAGTTCTGTTCTCGGTTTCTTTCAAAAACCGAGAATCAGTTTAGTTCCAGGTTCTTGATATGGAACCTATTCATCTTGAAACTGATCACCCTAAGAGTAAGTATTCTCTTAATGAGATTTCATTCGACGATTTTACCTCCCTACAGAGCATTCCAAATGAGTAATATTCTGTTTTTCCTCTAATCATTGGACCAGATAATCCTAAAAACTATATACCCTTTCACCTCAAACTCATTCTCTCCCTTCAAAGCTGTAAAAATTGACGGAGTCTTTACTTACAAAAAAAAGTAAATGAGGAATCAAGAAGTACAGTGAAGGTTTGAGCATTTTGAACTATACTGCTACTTTTTACCTGATCTCAACTCGTGATGGTTTTAATCATCACAATAAAAAAACATACCAAAATCCATAGTATGATATACTTCTTAGGATCTTTTACATGATATCATGCAGTGCGAAAAATAAATTAGATCTTTGATATACGCACATGAAAACGGTTAAACACATTGAATCATACTCGCATATTAGGAGATTCACCTAGCTTTACATCACTCATATCTTACACCCTTTTTGTTACAAACTATAAATTCATTCTTTGAAAAGAGATTAATCGATTTAATCTGACTTATCACGAATTAAGCTAATAATCCTGTTCTTCTTCCATTTTATTGGAGAAGAAAACTTTGCGGTGATATTCTCAAGGTGGGGCCTCCAACAAAAAAAAAAATGGGGACACGCGCTCAAGGCCATTTTTGCCAAACGTTGGTCCTCTCTGAATTTTCCTCAGCAGCTTCCCTTTACTTTCTTCTTCTCTTCTCCTTCTTCTTCCATCAAATCATTTCTTAATTTCTAATCGTTCGGACTTCCAAGAAAAAAGGGCAAAGTCTGAGTAAGACATACAAAGGGATGCAACTGTTTTGCTTCTGGTCATTCCTTTACGGTGCTTGTTGCGCCGATTCTTCTCTCTATGCTTGCATTCTATCATCTCAAGAAGAAGAAAAAGAGTGCAGAAAAAGAGAGCACCGAGGGGCATCCGCTCCTCCGTTTGGTATCAATCAATTTTCAAAATTTGAAAGTTTGAAGAGAATAACTCGGTGATTCATATCAATTTATAATAGATTCATGTTACATGAAATTGGTAGCATGAGAGGTAGTGTGAAATAAATAAAAGAATTAACGACCATTTGTTTATTTCTACTTCACATTTCCAACTTCATTAAATATTTGACGTTTTTAAATAAAATTAAAATATTAAATCACATTTGTAATCACTAGCTAGGTCCTTTCTTCGCATCTTCCGCACATTCCTAATCCCGTTTGAACTCAATTATCAGCTTCCAAATGACTTTATCAAATTCTAATTGTCAATAACCAAATAAAAACGAACCAATGCTTAGATGTTTAAATACATGCAATGTGCTTGTACACAGATTCAAGTTCTTATGTCCCAATTCCCAATTAACAGAGTAACGTACGTTATTCGTGAGTGGACCAAGCCAACAAATTTGACTTGACTAGTGGGTGAGGTCCAAAAGAAGACCATGCAAGGACTAAAAGCATATGCAGAAAAGCATCTCTTGTTATTGATCAATACTTATATGCAGCAGAACAGTATCTTTAGTTTCAACTTTTCCCCTCAGGTTGCCATGGACAAAGGGCAGAAGAGTGCAGAGAAAGAGAGTGCTAAAGGATTCATCCCTCAGATAACCCCTGGAGGAGATAGTAGCCAATACGACGTGTTCTTGAGCTTTAGAGGCTCGGATACCCGCAAGGCGTTCACCGATCACCTCTACCATAGTCTGATCAACGTAGGGACTGTACCAATCTACGTGTTCAGGGACGATAACAACATCCCAATTGGCGAGGAATTTGGTTCATATATTCTCGATGCCATCACACGGTCTAAGATTTCGATCCCCATCATCTCCAAAAATTATGCATCAAGCAAATGGTGTCTCCGCGAGCTCATTCATATTATGGACCGCATGAAGAGCACATCACATGTAGTGTTGCCCATTTTTTATAAAGTGGATCCATCACATGTTCGGTATCTAAAAGGAAGTTTTGGGGAGGCCTTCCATTCAGGTACAGAGCGTTTTAATGAGAAGGATATCCAGGAAGGACAGCGAGCACTTAGCGAAGTGAGTTACTTAAATGGTTTGGAATCAGAGAAATTTGCCAACGGGTACTTCACTTCGATCCGAACTTTGTTTTTTCTTTTTGGCAAGTAATTTTTCTTATTCACACAAAACTGATGAAAATATGGATGAACTTCTTCCACCACAAGCTCACAACCCCAAAATGTCCCCAATGAACAACCATAATGCCCCAAAGACAGCAAACACTGATACTCCCCAAGATGTCCCTTGAAAACTAAACCAACAACATCTAAAACCAAAGTATCCCACGGTGCCCAAGAATTTTACAATTGTCTCCATTCCAGAGCTAAAAACAAAGAGACGACAAACCCTTCGGGCCAATAGTATCAATCTCTAAACGATATGTCTACAAAGGACTCCAATGCTCACACTTCCAAAGCTTGTTCACCACCAGACAAAATCGACCTCTTATTGCCAGCGGCGGTTGGCTCAGTGAATCAGGATCGAATGCTTCGCATTAACCATGCCTAGGTTCGATTCGCACTGTTAGTATGATCCCATTGGTAGGCGATCCGAAAGTCAAGTATAAGTCCTCAATGTGGGCTTTTGGGAGGCCTCCGGCCTTGAAATTGGGTAATCCCCCTCCTCCTAAACTTTTTGTAACCACAAAAAAAGAAAAAGAAATTGACCTGCAATCCTTAACTCGTCGCAACCTTAAGCCTTATAACAAACATTATACTTCTAAAGACTCTTAATGGGCACGTGCACCACCTTATATCATTCCAGCAAGATCTATCTATTGGCATAAAAGAAAGGGGCAAAAATGAAATGACTGCCCCGTTCATCTCCCATTGTTATTTGTAATTCCGAAACATCTTGTATGTTAATTCGCCCCATCCAGCCTTCACATTTATGTGGGTGTCTTTTATATTAGATTAAGTATAATTACGAAGTTATCACGAGTTTTGTTGTTTGACAGGCATGAAGGAGAATTAGTGAAAAAAGTTATCAAAACTGTTCTGGGCAAGTTGCAACATGATTTTCAGCTTGATGTTACTAAACACTTGGTTGGAATTCGTGATCATGTGAACAAAATTAGAAATTGGGTAGACACTTCTGTCAGTGATGTTCGAATGATTGGAATCTATGGCATGGGGGGGATTGGTAAAACGACTCTTGCCAAGGTCATCTACAACGGGCTGTCGAATGATTTTGAGTATCGTAGCTTCCTTTTAGATATTCGAGAAACAGCTCAGCACAATGGTATTCCTCATCTACAAAACCAACTAATTAAGGAAATCGAGCCAACTGAACGTCAAATTTGGAACGTTGATGATGGAATTAATGTGATCAAATCTAGATTGAAAGGAAAAAAGGTTCTTCTTCTTTTGGATGATATAGATCACTTGAATCAACTAAATGCTTTGGCTAGAGAACGTAAGTGGTTTATGCCAGGAAGTACGATCATTGTTACAACTAGATATAAAGCTGTTCTGGATCAATCTGAATTCAAGGTAGACTACAAGTATGAATTGAATGGATTGGATGAGGTGCATTCTTTGCTTTTATTTAACAGACATGCATTTCGTACGGACCATTCTCCAAGGGACTTTGAGGATATCTCTCGTGATATCATATCCACCATGGGTGGACTTCCCTTGGCTCTTGGGGTAATAGGTTCATATTTGTATGAAAAAACAGATCAAGAAGTATGGCGTGATGTGCTAGAGAAATTAAGAAAAGAACCACATGGAGATGTCCAAGAAAAATTGAAGATAAGTTATGATGCATTAGACGAAGGACATAAGGAGATTTTTCTTGATATTGCTTGTTTCTTTATTGGCAAAGAGAGCAAATTTGCAATATACATGTGGAAGGACTGTGGATTTTATCCAAGTCAAGGAATTGAAGAATTGAAGCTGAGGTGCTTTATAAAAATTGATGAGGATGGAAAGTTAAGGATGCATGATCAATTGAGAGATCTTGGAAGGAAAATTGTTCACCAAGAAGGACCGGCTGAGAGACGTAGTAGATTATGGGTCAACCAGGAAGCCTCCAGTGTTCTAATGGGAAAAAAGGTAAACACATGGCGCTCCTTTTTCTTTCCCTCTCCCTCATATTTTCATACATTTAATCTGATCTATTCTAATCTTTTATCTAGCATGATAACATGCTCTTATTTTTTAGGAAAAATTTCCATCTTGATTCATGTCCATCATAGATTAATTGTGACAGCTAATTAAGGATGAAGAAGTTATATTCTCTCGTGATGGTTACCAAATAGAATATCTCCAAATATTCAGATTCATTAGTGTAAATTAGATATGTCAAAAATAAAATGAACAATAAGTTTAAAGTCTTTCAACAACAATTCTACACTAAAAATCTTGTTTAGTAAAAGGATGTAATTTTTCATATTTAGTAGAAAATGTTGATAATCTGAAAGACTACAATAATATAGTGATGAAGTATGAACATCATAAATCAAATAAAGAAGATTAATTGGTCCATAATTATACTAGATAATAACTAATAATCAAACAAAACATCAATATTGAAAAAAATGGGGAATTATTTGTTCTTAGCAGTGTAAGGAATCAATCTTGTATCATGCGCGTAATCTATATACACAACCGCGTTCCTTAATCACTAAACCAGCTGCGTGGGGTTGCCTCTCAGACATTTCAGCCAAATCTTTCATAGAAGTGTCAACTGTACCTTATATTGCTTCTGGTAACTTACTTCTAATTCTGAATCCTAAAGAAATTTACCATCTAATAAATTGCAAAGAAAAAACCGACTCCCTAGACTTGTCTCTTTAGTGTTGAACCAAAGTGGCTGGGCGCCCGCTTTGATCCAGAATTGCACCGCTACGCCATTTAAGCGATTAAAGTCAATAAAAGCAATATGGAATTTTTTCACCAACTTCTACAAATTAAATGATCCGTTTTGGCAGGAAACTTATAGAGTATGTTTTGACTTATAAGATGTAAAATGAAGCAGTATCTTAAGCAAAATGGACGTATGCATCTTCACTTTTTTTTGGGTAATACAAATAAGTATATTTCTCCAGAATCTTTCATATGGCAGAGTTAGCTAAAAGATATTGCCCAGCATTGATAACCTATTGTCCCATATGTTAGAAACTTTAATCTAACCATTAGACCATGAAAGGAAGTTAATGAACATGGTTGGTCTAAAAGCAACTTTTTTCCAACTCCTGCCAAAAATCTAAAATATTATTTCAATCCTAAAATGTGCATTGTTAACTAATGTCCCCACATCACTTTTCAAAAATACTCTACAAGAAATATTTCGGTTTTCAAACCAATGATTACACATTTCGCAAGAATAATTGATAAATTGAAGACCAAGTGCTTCCTTAGCCACTTAACAGGTGACCCATGAGGACTGTTTAGCAAATTCTTTTAAAAAGAATATGAAAAGTTTATATGAAAATCAACAAGTCAACATTTGTATGTTCTAAAAGGTTTCATGAATTTCGCCTTGGATAAAAGTCAAAAGTGTATGCGCCAAAAAATTCTAAAAAAGAAAATGGTAAAACACTAAGGTGCGTTTGTCTTAGATTTTCTGAAAGCAAGAAGTAATTTTCTTTTTACTTTCATGTCAAAATTTAAAATGCTGTTTAAATTTCGAAAATTCATCAAAAAATTAATCGTGAGTTGTTGTGTTAACGTTTATATACAGCGAGAGTAGAAAGATAACAAATTGTGCAAGTCCAAGATCTTAAAAAGCAAAAACTAAAAAAATTAAAATCCAATCTAGACACTCAATTGATTGATTTGATATACAGGGAACTGAAAGGATCCAGGCAATTTGTCTCAAAGACCAGCTCCAGACATACACAAATGAACAGTTTAAAAACTTACAAAGCTTAAGGTTCCTTCAGTTGGGGCCGGTGGCTTTAAGTGGAGATTTTGATAAACTGTTTTTGGAATTAAGATGGCTGCAGTGGTTTAATATTGAACCCAACCTATCTTTTTCGGCAACCAATTTGCATCTACCGAAATTAGTGGTGCTGCAATTGTCAGATAGCGATATAACAAGGCATTGGAGAGGATGGAGTTCGGTCATGGTAAGATGAAAAAACAAACATCCTACGTGATATTTTGTTCAATTTTTTTTTGTCGATCGACTTATTTTATGACAGCTTGTTCTCCTTTATATAGGAGGCAAAGCGGCTGAAAGTTCTCCAACTTTACTCCTGCCGATTTTTAATGTATACTCCTGATCTCTCGGCTTTCACAGAGTTAGAGATTCTCGACTTCACATTCTGCACGAGCCTGTTGAAAGTCCACCCTTCTATTGGCAAAGTCAAGAACCTTGTTTCCTTGAATTTGCGTGATTGTCAAATGCTCGATGAGCTACCAGAAGAAGTGGGCGAACTAGAAGAACTAAAAGAACTTATTTTAGATATCACTCGTATCAGAAAGATTCCTACATCAATCGGTTCTTTGAGGAAGCTAGAGAAACTGAGTGCCTGGTTGTGTAAGTCAATAAGAGAAATCCCTAGCTCAATTGGGGATTTACAGAATTTGCAATATCTGATCTTTGATCAATCTGGGCTTGAAAAGATACCTAGTGCTATTGGAAGGTTGAAAAAACTGCGGACGCTATGTCTCATGAGTACACAGATATCAGACCTGCCAGAAAGCATTCGGAATCTTTCTTCTCTCCAACACCTTAGCCTAGGGAGCTGTTTCAAGCTCCAGTCGATACCGGAGCTTCCTCCCAACTTAACGTATCTGACGGTCTCTAGTCATAGTCCTAGTTTGCCACAACTTTCTTGCCTAATCCACCTAGAAGTATTTGGTCTTCATGGATGTCCACTTGAGCACATCCCGGAGCTTCCCTCAAGACTCTTGAAACTTTCTGTTTCTCAATGTCATAAGCTGATATTGCCTAAGCTTGAGAGATTCAAGTACTTGGAAGAGTTTTCAATACATAACTGTAATTCCATTGAAAGATTGGACCTTTCACAATTACATTGTCTGAAACGATTACAAGCTAGCTATTGCGATAATCTAGTTGAAATTCAGTGCCAGGATAATTTCTTCTTGAAGGAGATAAAAATGTATGGGTGCAAGTCCATTGAAAGGCTGATCCTTCCAGAATTACACTGTTTGAAGGAATTAACGGCTCGCTATTGCGACAATCTGGTCGAAATTCGAGGTCTTGATAGCGCGGAGTTCTTAGAGAAATTGAATGTCGCTCATTGTGGGTCCATTGAAAGATTACCTGACCCATCATACTTCACGACCCTTAAAGAGTTTTACTTCCATAGCTGTCCCAATCTACGTGGTGAAGAGAACCTTAGAGAGATTCTTGTCTTAATGAAGCATAAAGATAGCAATTTGAAATTTTAGAGAATTTCAAGATGAGGTATTCGCTTGGTGTTACGGAGGTTCCTAGTGTTGAGGAATCAAGGTCTTGTACACACATGGATATCACAAGATGCAAATCAATGGAGACTTTACCAGAATTGTCGGATGTGAGAAGTTAAAATCTCTAGGGGTATGAGACTATAAGAAACTTAGTTAGCTTCGGGGACTTGAATAGTTGGATTTAATTTATTTGGATATTATTGGGTGCGACTCATGGGAAACGATACCAAAATTATCTCAACCATTGCCCTCCATGGCATTAGGTTTATAGATCTTGTCAAAGCCATAGTGGAAGCTGCTCGAATCATGTCTTTAACAGAGGCAAGCAAGTAAATTATCATTTTTCTTCTGAGATTCATAATCTACTTTTCATCACTATCTTCTTTTGACAAGTATGTTTTCCTTGACAGGTTTCTCTACTTTCATAAATTCTTAGTCTTAAATAATTGGAGTGGGGAAGTTGGTGGTAGAAGCTGACATGATGCTTAAGCCAAGATCAAAATGTAGATCCAAATATGGGTCTACGTACATTAGAACACATCGATCATCTAGTAAGATTCTTCATCCTTTAATGACTGGCATGAGCAAATAAAGTAATACTTTTCTCGAAGCTATATTTTTTTTAGAATTATTTGCTCGACATTGGGTATCTGTTTGATCTAGATTTGCCAAAATGTACCTGCTGTTGATTGCATTATAGCAATGTTTTTTCAGTTATTCTTCCTTTAGCAGCTTTCGCTGAGGCATTAGCGGCTTTATGGGGTAACGAATCAAATATCGACATAGGTAAACAAGAATTACCTAGTGATTTACAATTTCCCTCTCGGTAAACCCAGGATTTGAACTCTTCATCTAGAGGCTGATGATCTTTTGCTACTCAAACTAGTATTTTCCTTGAAAAAATCCTTGGCCATTTTAAATTCCTTTTATGAACTCTTTTATGTGTCAAAGTTGACTAATGGCAGATATCTTGTTTAGAACAAACGCCTTTTGAATCAGGTATCTTATTGTTCCCTCGAGCATGAATTCCCAGTAAGTATGAGAAACTGAGCTAAAATAACGATCAAGATTCAAGTTTTTCATATGAGCGATTAAAAAAAATGAATAGAAATTTTGGCTAGTTTGTTTCATATATGATTGTAGACAGGCTTTCTACACCCAGTTGTCAGACTGTCGTTTTGAAAGATTATCAAGCGAGGTAAACCGATGCTTCTTTTGTGACAGGTCTGGTTGGTCTATTATGTAATGATGAAGGCTTACTTTTGGACTTTGATTCAATGAGCTGTACCAATGACCTTTTGCATAATTGGGACAATTTTTTGCAAGGAGCTCAAAAATTAGCTAATTTGTTTGCATCCCATTTGATCTTATTATTGTCATTGCATCATTTTATCACATGATTGATCTGGTTCTGGCTAGGTTGGCTGAGGAAGTTCAAATTCTATCCCGGAGACCGATCAAAATGAAGAGGAGGATGTTGCCGAGGAAGCATCAACAACAACCGAGGGCCATCTTGCGTGCCAACCTTGAAGAGGCTCATGGTCCAACTAGAGTGTCCTGAGGAAGTTTTTTATGCTTGTGAAGATCGAAACACTTGATCTGGTCTCAACACCACATACCTGAATAATTGTGAATGTATTTGTTCTCAATTGGATCTGCTTTCTGTATGCTTATTAGGTTCTACCTCTCTGTGTATCAAATACATACCTGTTGATTTTTCTGCATGCTACCCTGTTGCAGAGCTGTTTCACGGGGTTGCGTTCTAATGATATCACTCTTGAACTCAGTGAGGCTCTGCAGAGAGAGGTATACACCGAGAGTCGTACCATAACTATGAAAGAGTAACTTTTGTGCTTATACTATATGAGCTATGGAATTTCACCTGAAAATTTATATACTAGGATGCGTGATGACATTCTCCTCCATTTCTATTGGTTTATAATCGTGATAATATTCTTTGAATGTTGTCATATAGGTTCCTGACTCGATGACCTTAGTTCTCATGTATGAGACGAGTAAAGTTAAAATTCACCTCCTACCCAACCATTCTGTATTGCAGATTTTGCTAATTCGATATTGCAAAATAACCGAGTAACAATTTTCTGTTCTGTAGTTTAGGCACATCACCTTTTCAGCATAATCATATCAACATCAGTTCTGCTCCTTAACACAAACATGGAAAGCGTTGCTAATTGCTTACATCTCCCAAGTCTGTTGTTTCTTTTTCATCAGCCAATTGATGAAGTCTCTTTCCATTGCGGTCCAACTGCGAACTAATCAAAGATACCTAGAATGTGTGGCAAGATATGCCCCTAGATTTTGGTGTTGGTGCAGATGATGTTTATGCATCTGTACCTTATCATTCATGAAATAATTGTGATGCTATGATCTCAACCATCTTCATTTATTGATAACTAGTTAATCCTATCCTTCTTGTGTAGATTCAAGCTGCATTTCATGAAATTCAGAGAAAATTCAGAGAAAGTCCTCTAACACTACAGGATGGAGACGCGGGCAGGAATGAGCAACGTCACGAGACATTATGGAAAGGCGTTTCAAAGTTCTTCACTATTGGCGTTTGTCATGTGCTCTGTGTTGTTAATACTCTTCATAGGATTCTTGATATAAAGCGGCCTCTTCTGATGTGGTGCAGTAGCCCTTTGCAAGCTTTGACATCGTGCCATTCTTTAGCAAAGGCCGAATCTCAAAATGCTTGCAGGAAGACCGCATGTGCAGGTGGTAGTTAAGCATAAAATCAAATTTGTTTACAAGATAACTGTCTAGATGTCCACTTCAAGCCACAATTTTTTGACTGGAAGAAAAACTTTTTTTCCTGGAAAAGGCGAATGTTGTGGAATCACCAAAAAATCTGTCAATTGCAGCCACGAGTTTGATTGAAAAGTTTTCCAAGAAGATGGTAGCTTCTCATTTGGAAGAATTTTGATCACAAAATCTAAGTGTTCATTAGTGTACAATCATCACCCTAGTCTGGTTGCCTATGGAAAATTCATATCCTGGCATTTTGCAATCACCTTCATCCTATAATCTCAAACTTGATTTACACATGAATCTATAAAGCAGAAGAGACACAGCCATACATTTTCATACCCCAAACCGGATTTTCTTTGACGTTGGGCATTGGCTATGGTTGAAGACTGATATAGATTGACAAACCAAATTTTACTCCTCGGACTCTGCTATGCCAAAATTATGGTCACCGTCATGCATTCAAATTTCTATCAAAGCAATTTCTTTGAGGCCACTCTCAGGTGAAACCCGAGTCATCTTCAATTCTTCTCTCTCTCTCTCTCTCTCCTCAAGCTTCTCTCACGGCGGAGCAGTGACGTTAGCTCGGAGTCTTCCTTTGAAAGCTCAGCGACTTTGTGTGAATACAACTATAGGTCCTCCATTTCTCTGCTGCGGCTTCGCGTCTCTAATTGCAAATGTCTCATATTTCCTCTGCTCCAACTTGATTTGCAGGCTCTTCACCTTTCGCGTCTCGCTGCTGATATCACTGAAGATTGCAAGTTCCTCCATTCCCAGAATTTGCAAGTCCAGTGCGTACTCTATATTTGCTTCTCGTGCTTTGTATGGTTTTCTTTTAAGCCGGATTGGGCGACTGAAATGGTCTTCATTGCATATTGAGCGATGTCTGCGACTCACGTTTTTTTTCACTAAACCTGTTTTAGAAATGTGAAACCTCTACTGTTCTCTGGTACTGACGTAAGTGGGAATGACAGTTAATTCTCTCTGTTGCGGAAGCAAGCGATCGAACAATAAATTTGATAGAATAAGAAAATAAATTAGACATCAGATTTACGTGATTCGGTCTTAGTGATCTACGTCCACAGAGAAAGGAGCAACGAATTCCACTATAGATCAAGCGATACAACGGAAATTACAACGAGTCACTCAAACTCTCTCAGTATTTTCCAGCCCCCAATTACACCCAATATGTCACGCCCCGAACCCCGACGAGCGCACGACACCCCACGCTTGGTCAAAAAGTGCGACGTCCCAGGAAACATCGCCGACCCAACCCAAAAACATCATAATCAAATGCAGCGGAAACGATTACACAAATCCCTGACGATATAATCATTGGGTAATAGGGAGAGACAAATCACCAAACCATCAAACACTATATTACACCCGCAATATATACAATATCCATTACAAGCTAGCACACCAGCAAACTTCCGAAACTAATGACCGCCAATAACAAAAAGGGACTAGTGGCCCGGTAGACTAACCCTTTGTCAAAAAGACTCCTCACCAAAAACAGGTACAACCCCTAAAACTCCTAACTAACCCCTAGTCGCTCTAGAGGGGGGGTCCACTCAGAGTCAGATTCATCGAAGTCAGTCTGATTCCCCGAAGACTCCGAAGACTCAGCAGGCTCAGAATCAGCTTCGATCACAATGGGGTCATCTATATCTCCCGATTCCCACGGGACCTCAACCGGTTCCTCATCCTCAAGCTCCACTTCCTCAAGCTCTTCCTCCTGTTTCACTTCGAGCTCTTCTTCTTCGGGTTTCTCCTCGGACTCTTCCTCGGGCTCCACCTCTGGATTCTCCACTGGCTCCATCTCTACAGGTTCTTCGTCTGAGCCTAGATCCATTGGAATCGGTCCTTGGTAAGGTACCTCGAGCTCGGGTTGTGGTTCAGCCACCATAGGTGCGGACTTAGCGGGGGTAATCGAAGGGGCCGACTGCGCAGGGCCAGGGCCGGTACTAGTCAACTCACCATCAAGGGGAGGAACGGTAAAAGGATCCCAGTCTCCAAATGCATCGTAGGGAGCATCAAAACCTCTAACAGGCCCGAATTCCTCTGCCCCATCCCGGAAAGTCCAGGCTGTATAAGTGTGAGTCTGCCACTCTGGGACACCTACGTCTACCTGAATCTCACTGGTGTGCTTAATCCAAGTATACTGTTCATCTACAGGGAACTCTACTGTTGAGCGGTCAAAAAGCATTGGTATTCCAAAACGGTGAGGTGGCTGATTATCCATTATCCAGGTCTGGGGTCTGAAATGGTTTTAAGTAAAACCATGAGATCACATTTCAGCAAGTAACACCCTAAATCCAACCTAGGCTAACACGTATCTCTAGTCACATTCAAGCACGCCAATCACACAATCAGTAAACCAGAACAATTGCAGGCACCAATATCTCAACTTGATACACACGAAACTTCACATGCTAAATCAAGCGTTACCATTAAAAACCGATAACATGCCACACTCAAAGATGCCATTCAAACCAAAACCACACCAATATTCGCATAATAGACACAACATCATACTTTCATCATTTCACTCAGGCACACGCATCCAATTCATTTCTGACCCGCGTAAACACCCCTCAGGTCCAAAAACTAGCCATCGATCTCGAACCATGTAATCACGCCTTAGATTCTATAGCCCGCGTAAATGAACACACCTCAGGCTCAGTGTCTCTAGCCCGCAGAAACGAACACACCTCAAGCGCAACACCGATCTCCCTTTTTATAACACAACCCGCGTAACACGCATCAGGTTGAACAACACTTGTATAGCCCGCGTAAAAACGCCTCAGGCTCAGTATCTCTAGCCCGTGTAACACGCCTCAGGCACAACACCGATCTCCCTTTTACGGCACAACCCGCGTAAAACGCATCAGGTTGGCGGTCTTCCGGCAAAACCGGGCATCGTCCGGCGTAACACGCCTCAGGACGGGTTCAATTCCCCGCGTAAAATGCATCAGGCATTATGTTATCACACGTGCACACATTTTCCATTTATTATCTGGACCCCGCGTAAAAATGCCTCATGGTATTTAATGATCGTGCAACACGTCGGGGCACCCAATCACATGCCAATTTCATACGACCAATTCGTACACATCATCCAACATATACAGACTATCAGTAAGCCATGCCAACTCACAATTTTACCAATTCAATTCGCACGTGCACAATTTAACGCGAATTTTTGCATTTGAGCCAAATTTCACCACTCACAAGCGTCGTACTCCTACCGACAACCCCAAACCAACACGCACTATGTCTCAAACACCAATATGCATCAATTCAGCTACATAATGAACAGTGATTCATTCACCACAGAAAAATTACTATAACGGCACATTTAGGCCCATTTTTCACGCAATAAGTCACAATAATCACTCGTAATTATTCAAATCACAAAATCAATCAATTCTAACCTCCAATCCACCTAAAAAATCATCACAATTTCATCCAAACAGCTCAGCCAAAGCAATCCAACCATTTCTCTACGAATAACCCCTAAAACTTGCTAAAACGGGCCCGAACTAACCCGAAATTACCCGTTATCCTAGGCGAGGGTTAGGGTATTACTTACTTGTGATTCCACGCAAAATCAAGCCCTCAAAGGTGGCTGGACAGAGAGCAAACAGCGGCGGCGGCGGCGTCCCACGAAAAGGGGTACCGGCGACTCACCGGCGTCCACGAGCGGCGGCGATGGGCTGCTGGTTTCTCGGCTGTTCTCGGCTGAAAAAGGGTGGCTGGTGATGGTGTTTCATGGTGGGAAACGAGAGAGAGAGAGAGAGAGAGAGAGAGAGAGAGAGAGAGAGAGAGAGAGAGAGAGAGAGAGAGAGAGAGAGAGACGGTGGTTGCGGTAGTAGTGCGACACGACGAAAGGGCAAGCGACGTTCGACGAAACAGTGACGAACGGACGGCGATTGGCTGGCCAGTTGGCCAACTCACATGAAGGAGAGGGGGCTGAGGAACTCACGGCCAGAGAGGGAGGAGATGTAACATCCCGAA